TAGTAATAAAAAAACATTTATATTGTTTGTTTGTGTAAATATTTTCTGTAAACAAAATAATGACACAGTGTTTACCCCCTTATTGTGTAGTATTGAAAAGAAATAACTTACAAATACTGATCATGTTGGCCTCAGAGGCCATAAAAGTTACTCAGAAAAGAAAAATTGAAAAAAATATGAAATAGTACATAAAAAAGTAAATAGAAAAATACCGGGTGACGGCAGTCGGCGATGTTACCATATGTTGTTCAATTTTGGCAAATTTCACACCTCCATATCTCGGTAAGTATTGACGCTAAAATTTTTTTGTTTAGCCTATAATGTTTAGAAAAAAATACTCTATTTTTTCATAAGAAAAAATAATTTTTTTTTTTTTTGAAATTTGCCCGACCCTGAGAACGAGTTTCGGAGAGGGCCTGTCGACCCTCAAAGGGTTAAAAGGCCCTAAAATCTGGAATTCATTACCTGTGAATATAAAAGAAACACTGTTTATAAATTCAAGTCTCTTCTCAAAAATCACTTACTCACCCACAACTAAATAAATACTGAATAATTGTATCTCATATGTGTATCTCATAAATGTCAACCTGTGACCCAATCAAACTTTGTTACTATTTAACTTCATTACCTAACAGAATACTCCATTCTACTGATTACACAGCAACACAGTAAATGACCATATGACCTGTCTTTGTAATACTCATTTGTACTAAATTGTTATCTGTTTTACAATAATTTTTGTACCACTGAATATATCATTGCTTAGTTAATCTTAAGTTAATTTTAAGCCTGCCCACAATGCTCTGCATACAAGGGGCTTTGGCATGCTGCACTTTAAAAATTGTATTCCTTGTACTTCTCTGTATCATGTTCAAATTAATAAATAAATAAATAATAAAAGAACAGAGGGAAATGTGTCTTTGCTCACTGCTAAACATTGTTCATAATGAGTAGCTGTCCATTTAAGTTAACTCTGCAAAGAACATTTTACTGACAGTTTTGGATGTAAGAACCTTTTCAGCTCAGGATTAGGATTTAGCAAATCTAGAATAATCACCAGTGTACTGGTGCATTTCTTAGCACTGTTTCACACAAATGTAGCACGTTTAAGCTGCTGCAGCTGACTGGCAAACCTGCCAGTCAGCTGTGTCAAAGATAAATAACAGCAGACCGACCAAGAAATCGCAAATACAACTACAACAAACATACGAAAAAACACTGCAAAGTTGCTGTTTTAATCGAAAATCATGGTCTCGTTTTTTTTCTCATTATACACTGTGTGCTGCAGGATTTGTTTTATGTGGTGCACACATACCACATAGATGTATTCTCTCATATCTAGGCCCAAATTTACCACTCACAGCTTATCAGAGTGAGCTGAGCTCATGGCGTAGATCTACGGTTTGGACCCTGAACGTAAAGCCGTAGATCTACGGGATGGACCCTGAAAGGATTAAATATTATGCTTAAGGTTTGGTTTGTTAGGGAGTTGAATATTTATTTTATCTGAAAACGATTGTTGTATTCTATTATACTATGGTTACATTTGTTTAAGGCTTTGATAAAATCTTCTCAGCATCCTCTCCTTGTGTGGGTATCTACTGTACCTCTCTATTGATAGTTCTGGGATCATCAGATCTGCAGTCTGGTCCTTGACAAGACCTGCTTTTTTGGCCTGATCAGGCAAGTTGTTAAAATCAAATCAAAATCATATCAAAATCTTTATTTCCTTGTAAAGCTTACAATGTGTGGTTTACATGTTATAAAATATTAAAAGTGGGGGACCATTCACAGTATCTTCAGGACTCCGCCGAGAGGACCCGTGAAAGTGGATCAGCACCTAAGAATGATGAGGTATCTACAAGTAGATCTCACCAGAGTCTCAGATAGATAGGTTCGCACAGGCAATCTTCTGATACACTTGTGTCCTTGACATTGTGCTGGAAGGAACAGCTAAAAGAGGTTTGATCCTCTTTCCCCTCAGTGCAGAGATTTATTTCCCGGTTGTCCTGCCGAGGGGTAGGTACATGAATTGATACCAAGGTACTAATACATTTCTAGTACTAAATGAAAGTTGAGGAAGGATGGAACAAGAACAAGGATAATAATGGAGGAGGAAAGACGGTTTCAGGATTTGTATGGCACAGTGAATTGTCAGGATCACATCAACGTAAGGAGGCGTTCTTTAACAGTAGCTTTGAAATGGTTGGCAGACAGGAAGCCTCTGGAATATTCAGGCAGAGTGTTCCAGATTTTAGGCCCTTTTACACAGGCTGAGTTGGACACATGGGATATCATAGAGATTTTTGTGTTTGGTATTATGCCTATGAGTTCTGTTGCAGCTATCAAGAAAGAGTTTCAGAGTAGGATTAATATTAGAACTGATTAACCTAGACACACTGAATGGGACCTCATGTTCAAAGCTAAGTGATGTATGGTCATATAACTAGTAAGATGACCATTATTTAGGTTATAACCTGAGAACAATTTGTCAGATAGGATAAGTAGGAAATTAAGCCACATTATCTTCCCATATGTTATCCATATTCCTTATGGACAACATAATCATAAATGCTGCAAACTTCCTAAAAGCTTACCTTAAGAGTTTTGATGGCCACTGTCATTTCTGGTCTACTGGGAAGTTGGAGTTTACCCTTGCAAACATCACCAAACTCGCCACCACCAATTATAGCTTCAATAGTTATGTAGGAGGCATCAATTTCCCTTGCAAACTCCCTGATGGCTTGGTTGGGGTCTTCATAAGTGTGAGGATCTATATAAGTTCGATGGTGACCAACTTGTGTAAACAGTGGTGTTGTCACTGTGAATAAGAGATGAGTATTGTTAATATGAGATAGAATGAATTCACTACACACTATATGACTGAAGTGTTTTCCATCATGAGATATGACCATGCTCCAGTACTGTATTATGATCCAAGATACCCACACAAACCTGGAATACTTCTGTATATTCAGCTGTACTCATTAAGGTATTAAACAAGTATTATATGCATTCTAGAAAATGTACAAATAAAAATCTAACAACTTAAATATGATAATTTCAAATAATTACTGATACAACCAAGAATCTCAGACTTGAACTAAAAAATATTTTACTGCAGTAAACTTCCACCACATAATAAACACATCTCATATGACAATGTAATAGAGAAGCACATGGGCCATGTCACAATAAGAAAAGAGGCTGTCACCCATTAACTGTTCTAGAATATCTAGACACATTTAGGTTGGGTGAAAATCTGCACTTAGCCGTACTGTAGGGTATATGCTTAAAAAAAATAAAACATGTTTCTGTTATGCTGAAAGTATAAATTTGGTATTCAAGCGATGTAATGTATTTCATGAGTGGGCTATAAATACCCTTGAGGGAAAGCAAAAATATGTTAATTAATAGGCATTAGTAGAGCAAAGCACCAAATGTAACGAATACAGGGTTATCTTGGTCTACTGCTACAGGTGGTATGTTGTACAAGGATATACAGAGGTGGTAGATGTAGGGCATGGGAGGTGCAACACAGGGCATACTCCATAACAGGAAAAAGGCTTTGGGAGAGAAGTGAGAAAAAAATGCAAAATAATTTGTAAAATACCAATCATAACGTAAGCATTCCCAAAAATTAAATAAATTTTGAACAACACAAGTTTGAATATTTCGACTTAAAATTTAGTAGTTTTTGTATTCATTAAATCTCTCCTTTTGGCCACAGGTTAGTAGGACATCAGGGAACTAATACTTACTACTTCCGGTGGTGTGGGTTTGCACTATAGGTGGGTTTTCCAAAACACCGTGCACTGTAATAGATGGGTAAAAAATACGGGAGTTAAACACAAATTACCAACTAGGGAGGATCATTTCGGCAACGATGACAAACAACTGGGTGGACTTACACTAAACAGGTGCCTGAGTGATCTATACATACATGCCTCATGGGGTCGGGGTTCTGGCTCTTCATGAAAGTACTTTAGAAGACTGCATTCTAATTCTGCAGTTTGGAGGTAGAGTTCTATAAGGTTTTATTAGAAAGGAGGAAGTGAAAGATATTTGCTTGCTAAAGCATCTATGGATCGCTACGATCATAATATCACTTGCTTTTATAGCAGCTTGTCAGTGAATGTTAGGTTGTATGAAACAACATCCCTAATTTTGATTTTCAAGTGCAGGTCATTAGATTGTGTGTTATTTACAAACTAAATGTCTAAAACCAAATGTTAAATGCTACATATATCCCCTACCATATACATTAAAGCTACTCATACACTAAGCACATACTGCATTGTTAAGGCATAAGGGAGTAGGTACATGTAGGAAAATAATGCACACAATGAATCTGCAGATAGATGCAAAGTTCATATCAAACAATAACAAATGCAAATGGACTTTTTGCAAAAAGCTTTTGCTTTGTTAATACAAAGCCAAGAATTAAAACAGCAGATTTTCAGCCAGGCGTTGACAGAATGATGGGCTTCAATTACAGCCAGAACAAGAAGACAATTAAAGCAGGACTCCCTACAGGAGGCGTGATGCAGGAGGCTACTGGTATGCACAGAAGGGCCAGGCATAAGACTTACACTTACTGAAGGTGACAATCAATCCTGGGAGGGTGATTGCAGGAGGGAGGGAAAGTGGGGCAGTCAGAGTTTAATTCTCCACAGCCAAGGATATTCACAAATAGGATCTTTGCCTTTGAAACCCTGGACTTTTTTTTTATTTTGTCTCAAAATATTCACTTTGTATGGAAATAAAATTTTGTTCTTAAAATAAAACTAGGTTTCAAATGCATTCAAAGCACATGTTTCTCCTCAAATACTGGGAGGCAAAAGTCATCAAAACCCAAATCTAGAGCACAAACTCTGGGGAAAATTGCATACTCTCATTATCTACTCAAAATACAGGGATACAGTTATAAAATAAACTGTTCCTCTGTTCAGCTACAAAGGAAGAGTGAGCTTACAAATTGAGCTTTTTATCAACTTTTTATGCAGGGACAATAGGGTGTTGTGGTATCTGAGTGTGCAGGAGTTGTAATTCAGGCTATGAAAGTGTCAGGCAATATGTACCAGCTTGATAATGATGCAAGGAGAGGTGTAGGCAAGATGTGGGGCTCCTGCAATACACGAGGCAAATCCTCCAATCATACTGTACAATTATAGTAATGATAGGGTGTAGCTTATAACATGCGAACAAGCGCATGGGTCTGAATGCTCAGCACAGGGGGGAGCAGGAGCCTGGTGGGTGCTACACGTACTGTACACAGGAGATGTGTTTAGGGTCCACGGGGTGAGATGCCCAGTTCTAAAGCAGGCAGGGTGTAACGCAGGATGACACAAGTTGGTGGTATCTGTTAGGTAAGTTTACTTTTGATTTCTAGAACAGATGTACTTGGAAAGAAAGAAAAAACAAATTTTTGAAGTTGATACAAGAATGTACAACAAAATCAAACCCTGCAGTTGTAAGTATAGCTAAGAAAATAATAAACCATTAACCCTTCTTTTCCTCATTTATGTCTAGAATTAGAATAAAAAAGTGCTCAAACTAAAAAAAAATAAAAAATAAAAAACAGTTCATTCTCAATACAGTACGTAAGAAATTCCAAAACTGAAAGTATATCTTACCTTCACCATTGCGATATTCTAATGTGTCACAATCTGATGGCTGCTTTTTGTTGCATTCATCTGTGCCTCTGCTGAAACAGTAAGGTATATCAAGTTTAGTTTCAGGGGGCAGCACCACCACCAATCATGTGCCAAGGAAGACAAAGCTGTTTTACCAACAAAATATTTAGTTCAGACTTTAACCTCTTAACTGTCCAAACATAGATCTACGTTGTTACTGCTAGCACTCCAAACATAGATAGTTTTATTTTTCCTGCCTCCAGATTTGGCACAATTGGTCTGAGATGCCTGATCAGCATAGAATGGGTCTTAACATTCGGTGTGTGCAGTATTACAAGAATCTGGGACCACTTATTACCTTGTGGAAGCACCAGTTCAATTGAGTGCCAGCTAGAGCAAACAGAGCGGCTAACACCAGGGATTCACCGATGTCATGTCGTATTAACCCTCCCCTTATAAGAGGAAAGTGATGTTGACCCCGAGTTTAGTGGCTTTGAGGTGGATGTGGCTACAAGTGGTCGAGGAAATATCAAAAACCTTGATAATAACCCATGTGCAACATCTGTGTAACATCCTTTCAATTTTGGTACCACTGGTAGTGTCATCCTGCCAGAATGTCCTATAACCTATGCCCTAAGTAAAGGAAAACAATTCTGGAATGTGTAATACGTGTTCAGCAGGCTGACTGGCCTGCTGGCTGGCCAGATGTCTCTATCTCCGTCTGTCCATATCTATACCTATCTCTCTCTCTGTCTGTTTATCTCTGCCTCTATCTCACAGGTAAACATAAATAGAATTATACATAGTGTAAATTACCTAGGATAACCCAAAAATTCCAGACAAAGTGCTATAGTGTGCTTGTAGATATAATGCATAATAAATAAAGTAAAAGGACTCAAGTGCAACTAATGTGACATTTTTATTGTGGCAACGTTTCGCTCTCCAGGAGCTCTGTCAAGCCGTTACAAACAGTACATGAACACAGAGAGTATATATAGGCTCAGAGTGAGGTGCAAAACTAGTGATAGTAGTAGTAGTAGTAATACAATATGGTAGAGCAATTAATTTCCACATGAGTAAAAGGATATAAAAGCTATTACTTGGGTAACATAAAATTAGGTTAGACAAATATTTCTATAGGAGGCTGGAGAGAGAAGGCCTGTTTCAATGTTCATTCTCTGTAATGTGCTTGTGTAGTAGGAGAGACTGTGATGGCAGGGTTTACTGTTTTCAGGAGGATTCTTGCTAAGACTTCAGAGATGGTGAAGCTGCCTTTTTGTTAATCGTATTAGACACAGCGATTAGTGATGAGTCAAGACACTTGCATCTGCAGAAATTAGTTTCTTTGATCACTAATTGGGCATCCCTGAATTTCATGAGATGATTGGTGGAATTTTGGTATTGTACACAGACGTTGTTCAAGTTGTCGTTCCTACATGCATAAATGTGTCCATGTACTGTTTGTAATGGCTTGACAAAGCTCCTGGAGAGCGAAACATTGCCACAATAAAAATGTCACATTAGTTGCACTTGTGTCCTTTTACTTTACATAATGTTGGTAATTCTACCAACATTATTACAATGCATAATAAGCATGATTGGCAAGTAATACACATTTTCACTTGTTTAGGAATCAGATGTGACTACTCAGCATCTCTGCATCATTTGTAATACCTGTTGGTTCACGAGTTGCTCTCTCTGAGACAGAAAGAGAAGACAAGCAAAGAGAAAGAAAGACAAGCAGACAGACAGATAAGCAGAAACAGAGATAAACAGAGAGCTAGATGGATGGATGGATGGACAGACAGACAGACATGTTTGTGTAACAGTGAAAACAAATAAAGCCAAGGCAGTGCACGATCATCAAATGTCACTCCACTGCTGCACTGTTAGCAGTGGGGTGACACTCATCTTACACCATGCTTCAAGAGTTTCATATATACTCCCAAGTGTCCAAAACACTGCTGGGACCTATAAATACTATATATATTTCTAGACAATAGTGTGTGACTAAGGTGGGTGAAAATGTTCACCTGTCACTGTATTTGTGACTATTTAAGTACTATTTCGGTACCTAATATTAGTGTCAGAACAAAGATTCGCTATGAAATCATAACAACTACTACAAATTTTAATTCTTCTTCTTTCAACACACCGGACGTATCCCACTGAGGCGGGGTGGCCCAAAAGGAAAAACAAAAGTTTCTCCTTTCACATTTAGTAATATATACAGGAGAAGGGGTTACTAGCCCCTTGCTCCTGGCATTTTAATCGCCTCTTACAACACGCATAGCTTACGGAGGAAGAATTCTGTTCCACTTCCCCATGGAGATAAGAGGAAATAAACAAGAACAAGAACTAGTAAGAAAATAGAAGAAAACCCAGAGGGGTGTGTATATATATGAAAATTTTAATTATCAGAACATAAAAATTATATAAATTAATAACAAAAAATGAGAAAAAAGGTACTATATTGGCAACACTTATGCAAGCAGCAGTGCTTCATGTTGCCATCAGGTGTGCGACAAGCGCCGACTTTGTGGCCTTATATCTCCATAAGTACTGATTCTAATTTTTTTTTTTTTTCAAAATATTCAGAACCCTGGGTGAGAGAACATAGATCCATGTTTGGACAGTTAAGGGGTTAAGACTTAGGATACCAAAATATTACAGAAAAAATAGGAGACCTTGAGTACGTATCTGCAAATGTCAGAAATATAAGACTAAAGATTTTGGAGCACTATACTGTATATGAAAATTATAGAAATGATTACAGTACATCAACAGCATCATATAAAGTGCCAAATAAATTTGTTTATATACCACTACAGAATGTATAAATTCCATCGTTAAGGTAAAAACTTTGTATAGCCCGACTGACAAAGATGCTAAGTTTTACATGAATGAATTTCCAGCAGCACATGTAAGATGTTTCCCTTTCTTGTGATGATGGAAAAGGCAAAGCTTTCCCACCAAGAACTGATTGTTGAATTCAAAATGAGCACACCTGTGGGTGGCTGAAAAGTTTCAAGAAACATCATGGTATTCATCGGGCTAAAGCTACAGGCAAGCACACATCTTCAGACAAGGATAACTGTTTGGATGATTTTACTCTACTAGGTTGAGAACTGCATAATTTAACTTCTGACAAAATATATAGTGATGACTAAGACAGGATTATATTGGATAGCAACTGCAAGATATTCTCTCATTTGCCATTACGTATTAGAAAACAGAATGAGGTACAAAAGAAAAAAATATTTAAAAAGTGCTAAATCCATGTGAGTCATTAGTGCTAATGTAACATTAATCTAGTACTAATCCATTGGTAATGAATGGTTTCTTAAATATGTTGTGAAAAGACAGAGAATTCTGCAAAAGCATTACTTCAGGAAGATTGCAAAATTCTGCTGTGGATGCATAATTGCTCTTGTCATCCAACTGTTGAAGAACTGGTTGCAAATTACATCACAGCCTTTCTGCCATCTATGTGTACTTTCCTTATCCACCCTCTAGAGCAATTAAGTCTATTACAGATAAATATTACAACAAAGTCATGCAGACCTTCTAACAATATAAAAATGGGGGCTCTGAAACATTTCAGGAGGAATAAAAGTTAAATGTGGCAGTCAGGGAATGGGGTAACTCATACTGCACTGACAGTAAGAATGATACCAAGTTTTAGGGAAATCTTTATGATATTGTTTGGTCCAGGACAGAACATTGTAATGATAATGATTCAGGCAGTGAGTATAATTTTGAAGGCTTCCAAAATTGAAGCAGAGAAAGAGGTTGAAAATATAATGTTACATGCTAAAGAAATTATTTTTTGTGCAACTGAGGAAAATATTAGAAATTGGATGGACTATGATAAAGATATTCCTGTACATTAGTGTTGCAGACACTGTTGATGTAATCATGCACCCTGCAAGTGACTAGTAACAAATTACTGTGAACCTGTTTAGCAAAATCCCTGTGATATGATAGTGGAACAGCACATTTCCTATTTAGAGAGGAAAAACAATTTCTCAAGTCTAAATCAGTGTTATTAATAAGCAGTAACTCATGATCATGATTAGCTTATGGGAATCATTAGTCTAACTTATGCATAACAATAACAAAGCCCCCACTGCACAACCTCTGCCTCTGTTAACCATATCATATGAATTGTAATAATTAACCGCTCTAGTTTAACTTGCAGCCACATAACTTGTATCACTGTATTTTACTCATTTACATTTTCATCTGCTTGATATTAGACTTGCTCAAAGTGCTGTGAGCATTATGGGGTTCACAAAAGTCAGTGTAATTATTCCCACTATACTCTTGTAAATAATGATAATACCAGTACTGCATTGCACTGTACTAAATACAGCCTCTCCTCACTTGGCAATGTACTTGTTTACCAATGCCTCGGACTTACATCAGGCTCTCTGACCACTATACATACCTAAATAATTCATATTAGAGCTGATTTCCTCTATTCTGTTTATTACAATATACAATACACTACTGTATAAACATATAACATTTCTGGTATATTTTTAAAAGTGGTGGAGAGATACATGATTATATACACCTGGAAAATCCTAGAGGGACTAGTACCAAACTTGCACATGAAAATCACTCACTACGAAAGCAAAAGACTTGGTAGACGATGCAACATCCCCCCAATGAAAAGCAGGGGTGTCACTAGCACGTTAAGAGACAACACAATAAGTGTCAGGGGCCCGAGACTGTTCAACTGCCTCCCAGTATACATAAGGGGGATTACCAATAGACCCCTGGCTGTCTTCAAGCAGGCACTGGACAAGCACCTAAAGTCGGTACCTGACCAGCCGGGCTGTGGTTCTCATACGTTGGATTGCGTGCAGCCAGCAGTAACAGCCTGGTTGATCAGGCTCGGATCCACCATGAGGCCTGGTCAAAGACCGAGCCGCGAGGGCGTTGACCCCCGGAACTCTCTCCTGGTAAACTCCAGGTGCAAAGGTGACAATATCAAAGATGGTAGACACAAACCCACTACAATTATAGTATGCTCCTCACTTAGCGATAAATTCACTTACCAACTTGGCCTTAGGAATGGAACTCCATCATTAACAGAATACTCCATTCTACTGATTACACAGCAACACAGTAAATGACCATATAACCTGTCTTTGACACAGTAAATGACCATATAACCTGTCTTTGTAATACTCATTTGTACTAAATTGTTATCTGTTTTACAATAAATTTTGTACCACTGAATATATCATTGTTTAGTTAATCTTAAGTTAATTTTAAGCCTGCCCATAATGCTCTGCATACAAGGGGCTCTTAAAAATTGTATTCCTTGTACTTCTCTGTATCATGTTCAAATTAATAAATAAATAAATATATAAAAAATAAAAAGAGGCTGTACTGTAACATCAAATTAATAATAAATTAAAAATTCTTGATTAAAACTGACTAGCATAAAAATTTGTCTGCATATTCTATAAATGTTATCCAACACATTATTTGATAATAAGGAATGTGTGTAGTAAACTTGGTGTACATCACACATATTCAGTGTTGAGTCAAAAGGAATGAAATGAAGATGCATGTTCGTGCAAAGACACTTACCTATACAATAAACAACAAAACAGGTTTCTAACTCGGCTACACTAGCAAATTTCAGTACTGTAGGAAGGTTGTTTTAATGAAAGTATTTCAAATAAGAAGGCAAAATATGAAGAGGAATTCTCATGCAAATATTCAAGAAAAAAAAAAGTGATTGGAAAAGATGGAAATAGGTCAAAATTTTAAAGTATTCCTACTATAAAGACCTAATACATTCTCTCTTTATACTGTTGGCATATCATGTATATTTTTTGTTACTGTGAAATAACATTCACAGTCTTGATTTGTACCTTTACTTACTGGCAATAAATTCTGTCTGTGGATATTAGACCATCTTCATTTTGGCTGAATATGTTATAATAAAGTACTGCATTTCATCTATAAGAATTTGCACAAAAATTAATAACTTAGACATTAAAAGAACAGCTTGCCCACCTCCTCAAGAAGAGAAGTGTCATGATAACAATAACAGCTATTACAACAAATGCTCCCACTGTGGCTCCAACAATGATACGAACTTGTGTGTTGTCTTCATCTCCAACATAAGCTGAAAAGTATAACAATATTACAGCATAATACTTAAGAGAAACATAAATAATATTGGTTAAATTTAGTACAAGCATATATGACAGTCAATACATTTTAATACTGTCATTAAAATAGTATTGTAACACTAGTGCACAATATGGAAGCTGTATCAACAATGCTCATTACATTTAAATGTTCAATTTTATTTTATCATAAAATTATAATTCAACAAGATGTAGTTCATCATATACTGTACTGTACATACCAGTTCCTAGGAGCTGTCCTGTCTTCTTATACACAGGGGATGAGTATTCACCCCAGCCATGAGTAGTTTTGGCACGGACCTGAAAACCATAGTCTGTCCTCTGGCGGAGAGACACCAAGGAAGATTCTTCCTTCTTAGTTAGGATGCTAGATGAGTTGTTCTGAAGGCCTCGAACATAATATCGTACCTGAATAAATGCAACATTTCATTTTACTATGAATGAAACACATTGATGTATGTCTATAGAATAGAGGCAAAGCTATATGGCTAACACATCCCATATTTATAAAAGATAATAAATTTTATATAGTTACTGTATTCTGACCTACCTATAAGCATCAGTTTGCTTGGATTATGAATGATTTGCTCCCATTCTCCAGGCACTCTGACTCCCATGGGTTTAGCGTTTCCCCATGACTATAATAATGTTGACCTGACCCAAAACTTTCACCCAGTTCTTTAAATTTTTTATAAGGAGCCTAGGTACCAAAGTTCAGATGAACAATCCGAACATAAGTTAATCACTAGAACTAATTTCCTATAAAAATTAGAGAATTAAATTGTTATAAAAATTAAAGAATTAGGTAATATATACATCACTGTAATGTCCCACCTTGCCTACATAGGAACCAGGTAAATGTGTTCATAAAAATCAGTATAAATTGTGACCTTGGTCTTTAACTTAATTATTGATCCCCTCAATATTCTTTTAACCCTTTCAGGGTCCGTCCCGTAGATCTACGGCTTTACGTTCAGGGTCCAAACCGTAGATCTACGCCATGAGCTCAGCTCACTCTGATAAACTGTGAGTGGTACATTTGGGCCTAGATATGAAAGAATACATCTATGTGGTATGTGTGCACCACATAAAACAGATCCTGCAGCACACTGTGTATAATGAGAAAAAAAATGAAATCATGATTTTTCGATTAAAACAGCAACTTTGCAGTGTTTTTTCGTATGTTTTTTATAGTTGTATTTGGGATTTCTTGGTCTCAATTGATAGAATGGAAGACATATTACAGAAATAGAGATGATTTTGATTGGTTTTAGCATTGGAAATGGCTTGAAACTGAGCTCAAAGTAGCGGAAATGTTAAATTTTTGCCGATATTCAAGAGTAAACAAACGACCTCACACGTCTAATACACGCCAGCTGGTGGGTCTAATATACATTCACAAATATGGTGATGATATTTATACAATTATTACAGTATTGCATAACAGTAAATCTTCTATTTTTTGGTGTGAATAAAAATTCATTATGTGAATAAAAAATCAAAATGGAATTTATTTGTAAAGCCTCAAAACATAACTAATGAACAGAGGAAATGTTAGTTTAGTGCCAGGAATGCCCACATTGTTCATTCTGGACCCTATTTTGAAATTGGAATATTTTGAACTTTGTGTTAAATTGGCCAAATTAACAATTTCCGATCACTTTATTTTGTAGTTGAAACAGTTGACTTGGCGATTTCTTGTGCTCAATCGATAGAATAGAAGTAATACTAGTGAAATAGCTAAGAATTTGGTTGATTGGAATAATGTAATTGGCCTAAAATAGGAGTCAAAGTCGGCAAAATCGCTGATTCGTAAATATCGCTGACACATCAAAATTCGCGAGAGCATAATTTCGTCAATTTTCCACCAAATTTCGTACTTTTTGTTTTATTACCTTCACAAAAAGATTCTCTACGATTTCATAAGAAAAAATAACAAATTTTTTTTTTGAAAATTCTTGGACACTGGTGCGTGACTCCAGATTTGGGCCTTGGACCCTGAAAGGGTTAATTATAATTAGGATTAGTACCAAATTGCAGGCTAATATGCAAAAGTAACTTAATTTCTCTGAGATGATAATGTCATTACTCATTACTTGGCCTCTTGTGTCGGTTTATAGTTGTCAAAGACACTTGTTGATGGTTAGTGAATGACCCCTCACAACTGTGAGGTAGAGTATTAAGCACATAATATTATTCTTTTAAAAAGTACGTATTAGCTTCTGCCATTTTCACCAATACATAAAAATTGTCGATACTGATACTCTGGCACTTCCTTAATATATATACAGTGGATCCCCAATTATCAGCCAGTTCTGTTATTGGCCAACTCGGTGATCGGCCAGTTTTTCAGTGCCCGGTTATCGGCCATTAATTTGATGATCAGCCATTTGGGACGCGTTTGTCCACCAGCCCCAGCCGCTTGAGCATCAGTTTGGCTGTGTCTCTGGGCGAGTGAGGAAGCTCTGATCATTCATCCAAACATTTTGCTATAATCCATTGTTTTTTGTGGTTATTAATTGAGTGCAACTGCAAAAATAATCAACCATGGGCTCAAAGAAACACATCACATAGTATATAAAAACATGCAATGTTTATATGCGATGTATATTTAATAATAATCACTGGTACATTAAATGTCTTGTTGTATGTTAATATAGACATTTTCAATTTTCATTAATCCATCTATTATATCTTCAAAATTATATAAGAAACACGTTACATAGCATATAAACATGCAATGTTTATTATATGCGATGTATATTTAATAACCACTCTTTGGCACATTAAATGTCTTATTTTATGTTAATATAGACATTTTCATTAATCCATCTATGATATTTTCTTCAAAATTATATAAGAAACATGTTACATATCATGTAGCATATAAACATTGCATGTTTACATGCTATGTTTATATGTTATTGAATGGAGAGTCGGATGGAGAGTAAACATTACGTTTTTTCTGATGCAGCATTAGAGAAAACTGTGAATCTGGCGACTGGTGCAGTAGCCACCCTTCATATGCGTTTGTTTACAATTCTCAGCATGAATTATTCATTATTTCTCCTTCTGTTTATGATGGCATCTAAAGGTAGTTGTTAGAAACGATTAAACTCAGTGAACATGGTAATAATATGGCTGTGTAGTGTAATAATATAGCTGTGTAGTGTAGCCAGGGGGAAAGGGGGCTACATACATGTACTGTACCTACATCTACCGCTACCTACACTGACTTCCTACAAATAAATACTACTCACTTCTTGCCCTACATTAAGACTACAAATATTTTAAGGTAAATAATGAATGTACTATAGCAGTAAATGACAGAAATTAAAGAGGTGTATGCAATGTGGACTAGGGTGCAAGCTTTTGTAGAGAAACACCACCCTGACCAAGCTGAAACAAGCCATATCTGCAACATGTTCAGTGTAATAATGTTGGTAGAATTACCGACAATATGTAAAGTAAAAGGACACAAGTGTAACTAATGTGACATTTCATTGTGGCAACGTTTCGCTCTCCAGGAGCTTTGTCAAGCTTGACAAAGCTCCTGGAGAGTGAAACGTTGCCACAATAAAATGTCACATTAGTTGCACTTGTGTCCTTTAACTTTACATGTTCAGTGACAAAACCCTGTCCCATTTAAGGGAAATCTTAAAGAGACGCCAGAAACAGACCTCTGTGGACAGATCTGTTGTGCGACAGGGGTCCAGTGACTCAAGCTGGTCCTAGTGGCATTAAAAGACAAAGAAGGAAGTAACCCCAGAGAAGGCTTTGCTACCTAAAGTCTTTATAGAGGGGGATTCCCCTTCCAAACACTAACTCCTCCCTCTTTCCTCTTCCCTATCTTCCAGAAGCCAGCATTAGCCTCAATAAAGGTATGTAATACTTACATAATTGTTAAAAGAATTATTTTTTTTGTGAATATTTTGGTCTAGAACAGATTGATTGTAGTTCCATTAATTCTCATGGGAAATATTAATTCGGTTTTCGGCCATTTCGGTTACTGGCCGACCTTCTGGAACGGATTACGACTGATAACCGAGGGTCCACTGTATATAATATATATACACTATATATATATACTAATACAGTGGACCCCCGGTTAACGATATTTTTTCACTCCAGAAGTATGTTCAGGTGCCAGTACTGACCGAATTTGTTCCCATAAGGAATATTGTGAAGTAGATTAGTCCATTTCAGACCCCAAACATACACGTACAAACGCACTTACATAAATACACTTAAATAAGTGGTCGCATTCGGAGGTGATCGTTATGCGGGGGTCCACTGTACTATATATATATATTTTTTTTTTTTTTTTTTTTTTTCAACAAGTCGGCCGTCTCCCACCGAGGCAGGGTGACCCAAAAAAGAAAGAAAATCCCCAAAAAGAAAATACTTTCATCATCATTCAACACTTTCACCACACTCGCACATTATCACTGTTTTTGCAGAGGTGCTCAGAATACAACAGTCTAGAAGCATAAACATATAAAGATACACAACATATCCCTCCAAACTGCCAATATCCCAAACCCCTCCTTTAAAGTGCAGGCATTGTACTTCCCATTTCCAGGACTCAAGTCCGACTATATGAAAATAACCGGTTTTCCCTGAATCCCTTCACTAAATATTACCCTGCTCACACTCCAACAGATCGTCAGGTCCCAAGTACCATTCGTCTCCATTCACTCCTATCTAACACGCTCACGCACGCTTGCTGGAAGTCCAAGCCCCTTACCCACAAAACCTCCTTTACCCCCTCTCTCCAACCCTTTCGAGGACGACCCCTACCCCGCCTTCCTTCCCCTATAGATTTATATGCTTTCCATGTCATTCTACTGTGATCCATTCTCTCTAAATGACCAAACCACCTCAACAACCCCTCTTCTGCCCTCTGACTAATACTTTTATTAACTCCACACCTTCTCCTAATTTCCACACTCCGAATTTCTGCATAATATTTACACCACACATTGCCCTTAAACAGGACATCTCCGCTGCCTCCAACCGTCTCCTCCTGCTGCATTTACCACCCAAGCTTCACACCCATATAAGAGTGTTGGACATACTATACTTTCATACATTCCCTTCTTTGCCTCCATAGATAACGTTTTTTGACTCCACATATACCTCAACGCACCACTCACCTTTTTTCCCTCATCAATTCTATGATTAACCTCATCCTTCATAAATCCATCCGCCGACACGTCAACTCCCAAGTATCTGAAAACATTCACTTCTTCCATACTCCTCCTCCCCAATTTGATATCCAATTTTTCTTTATCTAAATCATTTGACACCCTCATCACCTTACTCTTTTCTATGTTCACTTTCAACTTTCTACTTTACACACATTCCCAAACTCATCCACTAACCTTGCAATTTTTCTTTAGAATCTCCCATAAGCACAGTATCATCAGCAAAAGTAACTGTGTCAATTCCCATTTTAGCATTTGATTCCCCATAATTAATCCACCCTCTCCAAACACCCTAGCATTTATATATATATATTTTATATATATATATATATATATATATATATATATATATAATATATATTTTATATATATATATATTATATATATATATATATATATATATATATATATATATATGAGTCGTGCCAAATATGTAAAACTGGTCAATTAGCAAGAACTCATTTAAAATTAAGTCCTTTCTAAAATTTTCTCTTATACGTTTAGATATATTTTTCATTTATGTTAATGCAAAAATTAATAATTTTGTACCAAATGAACATTAGAAAACTTCCCAAACCTTATTATAACAAGTGCCATTTAATTTAGCCTAATCCAACTAAATATATTTTAGATAAGCTTACAATAATTTAATAATAAACAAATAAAATGAAATACTATATTTTTTCGTCAGATTCAGAATGATTTTTGTGAAATTATTGCATACACAAATTTTCGCTTGCCTTATTCAGCAGGAAGAGTGTTGCTATTAAAGCCAAAATTGCAAGTTTTACCTATTGACATGACATATATCTACTACAGTGGACCCTCGAATTTCATAATCAATCCGTTCCAGAGAGTCTGACGAAAGGCGAAATTTACAAATGGCGAAACCATTTTCCCCATAAGAAATAATGTATATCCAATTAATCTGTTCCAGACACCCAAAAACATTAACAAAAAATATTTTTTTTACATTAAATATAGATTTACAAAAAGAAAACAATGAAACATCAAGTATAAAACAATAACATCACACTTACCTTTATTGAAGACTCTTGTTGGTGTATGGAAGACAGGAGGAGGGGAGACGATGGAGAAGTTACACTAGTGTTTGGAAAGGGAATCCCCTTCCATAAAGACTTTAGGCAAGAAGTCCTGATCTAGGGTTACTTCCCTTCTTTGTTTTTTAACCCTTAAACTGTCCAAACGTAGATCTACGTTTACGTGTGTAGTGCTCTGACCTTGATTTTTCCATAAGAAAGCATGTAAAAAAACATAGATCTATGTTCGGAGCGCTACGCAAGCGAACGTGGATCTATGTTTGGACAGTTTAACTCTTAAACTGTCCAAGCAGATCTATGTTCACATGCATAGTGCTCCAAAAGTAGATCTACATTCTTTTACATATTTTCAAATATAACAAAAAAAAAATGTAGATCAAAGTTTTTTTTACATGTTTTCAAATGTAAAAAAAGAAAAGAAGATCTACTTTTTTTACATACTTTCAAATGTTGAAAAAACGAAGATCAACGTTTGGACAGTTTAAGGGTTAATGCCACTAGGACCAGCTTGAGAGTCACTGGACCCCCTGTTAGAGAGGTGCCCATTTACAACAGTTTAGATGTCCTTCCAAACTGCCACTATCCCAAACCCCTCCTTTAAAGTGCAGGAATTGTACTTCCCATTTCCAGGACTCAAGTCTGGCTAACTAGTTTCCCTAAATCCCTTCACAAAATATTACCCTGCTCACACTCCAATGACTCGTCAGATCCAAAAAAACATTTGTCTCCATTCACTCCTATCTAACAAGCTCACACACACTTGCTGGAAGTCCAAGCCCCCTCACCCATATTGGAGAGAGAGAGTATGGAAGAAGTGAATGTTTTCAGATATTTGGGAGTTGACGTGTCAGAGGATGGGTTTATGAAAGATGAGGTTAACCATAAAATTGATGAAGGAAAAAGGTGAGTGGTGCATTGAGGTATATGTGGAGACAAAAAACATTATCTATGGAGGCAAAGAAGGGAAAGTACGAAAGTAGTGTGATTCCAACATTCTTATATGAGTGTGAAGCTTGGGTTGTAAATGCTGCGGCGAGGAGGTGGCTGGAGGCAGTGGAGATGTCATGTCTAAGGGCAATGTGTGGTGTAAATATTATGCAGAGAATTCGGAGTGTGGAAATTAGAAGGAGGGGTTGTTGAGGTGGTTTGGTCATTTAGAATGAATGGAACAAAGTAGAATGACTTGGAGAGAGTATAAATCTGTAGGGGAAGGAAGGCAGGGTAGGAATCGTCCTCAAAAAAGTTGGAGGGAGGGGGTAAAGGAGGTTTTGTGGGTGAGGAGCTTAGACTTTCAGCATGCATGAGCATGTTAGATAGGAGTGAATGGAGACTGTACATACATCTCAACATTTACATGTCTATACATACATGTCAACATTTACATGTCGATACATACATGTCAACATTCAATGTAACAAAATACCAGTAAAACTAAGCAATAAAAATTGATAAAAACTTCCATGGTTTTGGGGACCTGACGAGTTGTTGGAGTGTGAGCAGGGTAATATTTTGTGAAGGGATTCAGGGAAACCGGTTAGCCGGACTTGAGTCCTGGAAATGAGAAGTACAATACCTGCACTTTAAAGGAGGGTTTTGGGATATTGGCAGTTTGGAGGGACTTCTAAGCTGTTGTATCTGAGCGCCTCTGCAAAGACAGTGATTATGTATGAGTGATGGTGAAAGGAATGATGATGGAAGTATTTTTCTTTCTTTTTGGGTTTTTCTTTCTTTTTGGGTCACCCTGCCTCAGTGGTAGTTATACAACAGTTACTCTCCAAACTTTTTAATTTTAATATTTCTTGCAATAATATACTGTATTGTATATCTAAGTAGTAGGTTGGTAGACAGCAACCACCCAGGGAAGTACTACCGTCCTGCCAGATGACTGTGAAACAGAAACCTGTAACTGTTTTACATGATGGTAGGATTGCTGGTGTCTTTTTCCGTCTCATAAACACGCTAGATAACAGGGCTATCTTGCTACTCCTACTTACACTTTGGTCACACTTCACAGACACGCACATGCATATATATATATATATATATATATATATATATATATATATATATATATATATATATAATATATATTATATATATATATATTATATATATATATATATATAACATACATCTAGGTTTTTCTCCTTTTTCTAAATAGCTCTTGTTCTTTTTTATTTCTTCTATTGTCCATGGGGACAATTGTCCATGGGAACCAACATGTCGGTTCTCTGGACCATTCATCTACAAACCTGTCAGACTCTGCAACTTCTTGGTATCTTAATACTTAGGAATTCTTCGCTTGCCTAATTCTTGGGCACGACCTACTTCCAGATTGAACAAATGTGACACCACCTATGACTGCTGCACCTCTCCTGCCATACGGTTTATAAGCTGCTTCTCCGCTCATATGCCGTATTCTATTCAAGATTGATGGACTGAACACATCGACTCAAGGTTGAGGGACTGATTACCTCATTCTCCTCCTGTTCTTCAAGTTTCTCCTACGTATGGACTGATGAAGCCACTGTGTGGCGAAACGTTTCCTCAATAAAGATACCCAAGAATTGCACATGTGTCTAATTTATCAACATGTCGGTTCTCTGAACCATTCATCTACAAAAAAGTTTATAACCAAAATCACTTTATGTAAGCAGACATGTGATACTTTATATCGTATTTAAACTAGTCCTAATTAGAAACAATCTGTGAAAAAAAAATATTTGTCTTTTCTCACCTCATACATTTCAATATCAGAGAAAGGATCACTGGGAGCATCCCATGCTAGAGAGATCTCAGTGCTCTTGACGCTTGTAACACGAACGTTGCTCACCATGGATGGCACTGCAAATTTAAACAAAATATTACCCTCATATTTAAGGTATGACAATTTATTAAACCATGCTTAATTTAGTTTATAATATTACACTAGAGGAGGGAAAAAATCATTGTTACTATGTACTGTATAGTACACTAAGTGCAGTAGTGCACCCACTGTTATCAAGCACTCACTGGTATAAAAATAACATTATAGTACTGTAGCACTACAGTACACTATTAGCAATCATTTTTTTTTACCCCCATTCTTCTGTAAGAATTGGAAATTGACAATACACATGCAAATGCTGTATATGCCAAGTGTAACTACTAATAAAAGTGAGAGAGAGTTGATTGATCCCAGATATCAAGTACTCCCTTGAAGACTCAGAAACATGAGTAATATTTACACATGGTGCACAAATTATAAAAACCTTAAATGAACAACTTATTTTTAGATAACTGATAAACTATTTTCTCTTTCTTTCATTACAGATTTTTGCACCTGAAACTGTAATGAACTGAATTTTTGGTGCATAAGTGGAAAGGGAGAGATCAAAAAACAAACATTTTAATTATTTGTTAACTAGGGGAAAGAGTTTAAGGATAACAAAAGTAAACTACAAGAAGGTTCACCCACCCTCAGCATCGGAGCCAAGCACCATAAAGCCACCTTGGTAAGGGAGAAGGAGAGGGCTCATTACTAAACTTGATAAACATCTTGCACACTACATTTATAAAACGTACTAAGCACTGCACAACTATTTTCTATGGTTTATTTACAATGGAGAGTGCACCACAGTAAGCCCGTGTCTTATAAATTATTCCACAAAGACACTGTGATTATTAATGCTTGTGTTTTGCATGCAGCCTACAGATTTTTTGGAGCTATATTATATACAGTGCAATATATACATTTATTTCACTGAAAATGAGGTTTAATTACAGCAAATACAAATGGTCTATATTTTTCATTATTATACTATACATTATATTATATAATATACTACATACTAAAAGTTTTTTTTTAGTATCACAAAAATTACAAACACATCTAATGACTCACCTGAAGCCTCTGTGGTAACTGTAATGTCAACATACTGAGGATCTCGTGCTTGGTCTGAAACTCCATTTTCAGCAAACACCTGAAACCTGTATGTTGTAACAGGATTCAGACCACTGATAGTCACTTGAGTGGCATTGAAACTCTCCTGAAATTGAAATACAATTATCATAATAACATTTACTACAGAAAAATATGTTCACTTGTAATTATAGTACAGGTGTATATAGCAAATAAAAATCTGACCATATTTATGTCTAGTAAGTAATAATATAAGAAAGAAGGAGCACTGCAGCAGGCCTACCGGCCCTTGCAAGGCAGGTCCAACTCACACCCACTCATGTATTTATCTGACCTATTTTTAAAACTACACAAGGCTTTAACTTCAATGACACTATTTGCGAGTTTGTTCCACTCATCCACAATTCTATCATGAAACCAGTGTTTTCCTATACTGTATCTTTTCTGAATCTAAATTTTTCCAATTTGAAACCAGCCAGGCTGTGGTTTGTAAGTCGGTTTACATGTGGCCAGCAGTAACAGCCTGGTTAATCAGACCCTGATCCACCACGAGGCCTGGTCTCAGACCAAGCCGTTGGGGCGCTGACCTCTGAAATCCTCTTTACGTATACTCTGGGTATTGCTGCGAGTCCTGTCTTGGTTAGATATTTTTAGCACATTTACATTCCCATTATTTATTCTCATTTTCCATTTATACACCTCAATCATATCCTCCCTAATTCTACATTTTTCTAGAGATTGCTGATTCAGGGCCCTCTGTCTATCTTCACAGGAAAAATTTCTGACACATGGGATCCTCTTTGTCATCCTCTGTACATTTTCAAGTGCATTTATATCCATTCTGTAATACAGTGACCAGAAGTGTGCAGCATAATCTAAATGAGGCCTAATCAACAACATTATAGAGTTAAAGAAGAATAACTTGTGGACTCCTGTTAGTTATTCTTCTTGATATGAAGCTAAGAATTCTATTCGCACTGTTGTCTGGGCTTTAGATTACTGCTAACCAGAATTCACAAATCTCTTTTGCAGTTTAACTGCATCTGCCACTTCACCAATCACACACCAGTCTATTCAGATGTAACTGGAGCACTCTAGTGTCTTCGTCAAAATGAATTCGACAGCCTGTTTTGGTGTCATCAGCAAACTTACCATACCCCCGGCCGGGATTGAACCCGCGGTCATAGAGTCTCAAAACTCCAGCCCGTCGTGTTAGCCACTAGACCAGGGACTTGAGTCAATCAGCAAACTTGCTATGTCACTATTTATACCATCATCTATATCGTTTATGTAAATTGTAAACAAGAGACCCAACACTGACCCCTGTGGAACACTGCTTATGAGGTTTCCCCACTCTGATTTCTCCCTGTTTATGCAAACACACTGTTGCCTATCTGCCACGCCTCTATCAAGGAAAAAATTTCTCCCATTCCGTGTGCCTTAACTTTCCTCAATGGTCTCTGATGTGGGACTCTGTCAAAAGCCTTCTGAAGTCCATATACACAATATCATATTCATTACCATGATCTATCTCCTCAAATACCTTGGTGAAAAAAGTTAGTAAGTTCGTAAGGCAGGAACGCCCTTTTGTAAAACCGTGCTGAGATTCATTGATCAATTTATGGCTTTCAAGATGGCTATGAAGAGCCTCGGCAGTTATAGACTCGATCAATTTTTCCACTATGGAGGTTAAGCTTATTGGTCTGTAGTTCGAAGCTAAGGACCTGTCACCTGCTTTGTAGATAGGTATCACACTTGCCATTTTCCACTTATCTGGCACTATACCAGTTCATAGAGATATGTTGAAAAGACTAGCCAAAGGTTCACTAAGTTCTGCCTTACATTCCTTGAAAACTTTTGCAAATAGTTCATCAAGGGCTCGGGGATTTGCTAGGTTTTAATTTATATATTTGTCTGAGAACCATGGGGAGGGATTAGTTTTAAATACAATATTGTGTGGTATGGCTGTTGAAGCATTTTTTTTCCTTTTAAATTGGAATTGGATGTTTCATTTTGTGTCTTTCTGACAAGTCTCTTCAAGCAGTTTTTATGTACCATGCATTAAATCACGACTGACAGAAACTGATCTAGAAACTAGGATTGAAACTAAGAGTCAAGTTGATTCAATAATGATCCAAGACAGATGAAAACATCCAATATTTAAGTTAGTTGTGAAGTGTTCTGGGTACTGCATTGTGACTTTAATTCTCCTACAGTACAATACTTACATCAGCTACCTGTGGTGGACTGTATGAAACATGACTACCGCATGCATCACAAATAACTCGGTACAAGGTGTCGCTACGTCCGCCATCATTTGTGGGAGGATGCCAAGCAAGGATCACCGTGGCTTGGTCCACAAAATTCACGGTTATGTTCTGAGGCTTGCTTGGAGGACCTGTTATAATGTTTAAGATAATTATCAAAATACATACAATCCCGTATGCAAATTTCAAACAGCATGCACAGCGATCAATAGTACAAAATGCTGTATGCATTTTAATTCAAGGTGAAAGTGTATAAATGAAACATTATTGAACAATTATAGAATGACGCTGCAAATTTTGATAAACCCACTTTGGAGATAAAGGAGCATGGCATAACACAAAAGTACTTATGGTTGCATGAAATAGTACTTTCAGGTGCATGGCACAGTGTGGGTGTGGAGGGAAGGGCACTTAAGTTCACATTAAATGGCATTGGAGCACTTACAAATGTGTGGAACAGCAAAAGGGTACTTACGGGTGCATGGCATGGCGCGGGGATCCTTGGGGGCACGGTAGTAGCCAGTATCACACCTACACTCGGAGGCTCCAGCATGGGGTGCAGCACTGTGTTCAGGACAAGCTCTACACTCAGCTGCTCCAACACTGTCCTTGTACTTCAGCGGTGGACACACTGTACACCATGGAGAAAAAAATGGTACAAACATAATTTAATTATGAGATTCCAATAAACATTAGATATTGCATTTAACAATAAGAACAACATTAATCAGATTATGACTAAGATCTTCAGGGAAACTCTGCACTTCCAGAATTAACACACATGTAATACACAAAGTATGGGTGAGGTTAGGGTATGTAGGAGAAATGGACAGTATTGTCCAGTAAAAGCAGGTCTTAGACAGGAATCTGTGAATTTAGTTCCTCTTCAAGGGAGGCTCCTTGTCGTGGCCAAGAGGCTCTTGGCCTCAGGAATTAAACCTTTGGTCTCCTTCCTCAGCCCAAATCTAAGTACCCCCCAATCCTTCCTTCCCTATGCCATCCTCCCCATCCCCCCCTTTTTTTTCCCTTTCCTCCCCTCTCCCAACCCTCCCCTTTCCCCATCCCATCTGCAGTCTCTGGGGTCCTCCCCTCTGGTATTATGGTTTCTAGGTAGGGGGAAATGTACTGGGGTTCATCCCACTTTGTAGGGTCCCTCGGGGGTGGTGTGGTTCGCCATGAAATCTGAATTGTTTGGAGGTGCCCTGCTCCCTTCCCAGATTTCTGAGAAGTGGGTGGGGTGTCCTGCAGTGATGGGTGTATCTCCAGAAGCTGCCTGTCGGTTCTGGGAAGTGGCAGATGAAGGAGGTATGCTTTGTGGTGGGTTTCCGACCGCCCTCTCTTTTGTCCGCCGAGGTGGCTCAGTAGATGTGAAGTTGCTATCCCGGAGCACTGGTTTACTGGTATGAAGGGTAGGGTATGGCATGGGTTCCACTCTGCATCTTCACTGCTTGTGGGCTCGAGGCCCTCTCGGATGAGGGGAGGAACTTATGGCCCTTCCATGCCTTCTAGTGACTGTCCCTCCGCTGTCCCTCTTCTTTTTTCTTAAAATAACACGAAAGAAGCACCACTATAATGGAGTCTTCATTCATTGATAACCCTCCTCCTCCCAGGCCCCTTTCTGATCCTACATCCTGTTCTGACTCGGCTTCATTACTGGAACATTGTTTAGACTCTTCTCATACCCCTGTGCCTTCTACTGGTGATGCTCCGTCACCTGCTCCAGGTGCTGGGGTGCCACCTGTTTCTGTTAATGCCTCTGCCTCTGGCACGCCTTTAACAATGCGTCTGGCTTCCCCAAATACAGTGCAACAGTTTTTGGATCACCCACCTCCCTCAGGTCAGACTGTCCTCGGTACTACTCCTAAACATTCTAGACAACCTACTGATGACGGTTCTTTGATGTCTGCCTAAAAATGACCTACATGACACCCACTTCCTTCGCGTACCATGTTTACAAGTATGCAGTGGACTAAATTCTTTTCCCTGCAACCGACATCTCCAACTGCTTATCTTTCTGATCATAGTATTGGTAAAGCTCTTTTACAACACGTTAGCCAAAATGTATCCTTTCACACTCTTGGAAACAGTATGCATGTCATTACAGTTCAGAATTCAGAATAAGCTTAACCATATGATTTCCAAAGATAACATTCCAGACACAGTTCATAAGCACACTACTCTCAGTTCTTGCAGTGGTACGGTAGTTTTACCATGTACCATTGCACAGAGTGATTTTTCTGTCTTGCAGCAATATTTTAGAGCAATTGGCCCTTAGGATCTTCCTATTCTCATAGTGGATACATACGTCCTGCTTGCTTGTGGGCGGAGACACTTTTCCAGTAACATCGCACGCTTAACTTTCGACTGCCATGAACTCCTGTTCTCCATTTATGTTGCAGGCCATTGCCTAGAGGTCCATAAAGTAGTCCCTACTCTCCATCAGTGTCATAATTGCTGGCACTTTGGACACTCCGCTAAATACTGTAGATCTGTGGTGGAGAGCCTGGTCTGTGTAGCTGCAGATCATGCCAATACATCTTGCAGTCATCTCCCTGTCTTGTCTCAATTGCAATGAATCTTATCCTTCTTTTTCATGCCGTTGTCAAGTCTATCATAATGAATGAGAAATATGTTATCTTAAGGAGAGTGAAGGCCTTACACTATGGCTGTCTCTCAGCTCTAACTTCAGGGAAATCTTCCTCGTGTTCGTTATTCTCAGGTAGCTCAGAGACCTCCAACCTTGACGGTCCTCCCACCCACCAGTTCCTCTGCTACCACGTCTTCCAGGGTCACCCCCATTTCTAATTCTTTTGTGGTTTTATCCTCTGAAACTCCTACCCCCCCATACCTCTTCCTGCTTCTTCTTCATCTCACTCGCTAGTTTCTCAGTCTACAAGATCTCGCAAACTTACACCTTCTTCATGTCTATTACCTGTGAAGTTGAATCTACCTTCTACCTCGGTGACTACTTTTCACCCCCTTTCTAACTCTCACATGAATTCACCCCCCCCCTCATGTAGTCCCCTCTTCTCCCATCCCTTCTCCAGTCTTCTTCCCTAGTTACCTTCCAACCTCCTCCCTCTCCTGTTCCACTGCAGGACTCTTCTGCCCCCGCCAATGTATCTTTCCAGGTTCATACTCCCCGCCCCTCTCAGACCTCTTTGGTTGTCTCTGTAGTTACCCTGATCTCTACTTGCTCTACCTCACCTGTCTCTGAAATCATGGTATCAGCATCTTCCTTGTCCGCTGAGACACTTGATGCTATCTCCAACTATACTGTGGAGGCGAAACCCTTGATGAACACCGACACGCCTCCCTCTACTCCTTTTTCACGACCCTCGCAACAGTCTTTTCCTTCATAACATTCTGATTCCTCTTTGCTTACATACTTGCCGCTGCCCCCATACGTCAACTTCACTGACCCTACTAGCCCATAGATTTTTATTGCTTCTTATTGTTGACATACCTGCCTTTGTGAATAACGTCTTATTTACAATGAAACATTCGTGGCCTCAGGGGTAATCGGGGGAGAACTCCAAGTGTTGCTCTCCCAGTTTTTCCCAATATGTGTTGGGTTACAAGATCCCAAAATTTGTTCAGCTGTTATTCGTTCCATTTCAGGCTATGTGCTATTACATTCTTCTCATCCCTTTCCTGATGAATCATTTAATGAGAGTGGGCTTCTTGTGCACATTGGTATACCATATCAATAAGTTTTTGTTCATTCTCTGCTGCATTATACTGCAGTTCGTATTTATTTACACAGATGGTATACACTTTGCTCTCTATATCTTTCCCTCTCCCAAGCATTCTGTATCTCGGATACTGCATTTTTTATCTCTTCTCTACCGCCGGCCATCTTGTTAGGTGATTTTAATGCTCGTCATCTGTGGGGAGGGTCCCACTGTGACTCTCGATGGTGATCAGTTATAGACTCTTCTCGCTTCTCATCCTCTTCATGTTTTAAATACGGGTGCTCCTACCCATTTTGATTCTTGCACTCAGTCTCTTGCACTGATCTTTCTGGTCCTCATCAGTTGCACCTGATTACGCTTTATCTGTTCTCCTGAATTTACACGACAGTGATCACTTTTCTATTCTTCTTACTTCTACTACATATTCCCAACTGCCTCATAGCAACTTGTATGAGGATCCCCTTTCATCCTCATCTCAGTTTTGACTGTGGCATCACGTTCTATTCCTCAAACTTCAGGCAGGCATTCTCAGACATGTGTGCCATGGTGGTCTCTTGCATGCACCCGTGCAGTGCATTTGAAACGTGCTGTGTGGGGCCGTTATCGATATAATCAGACCTCAGAGCGTCTTTTCGAATTTTAAGCGGGCAAGGGCAGTTGCTCACCGCGTCATACGTGACACTAAATGCACTTGTTGGCAAGACTGTCTCTACCATTACCTCGTCTTCCTCCATATGTGCAGTTTGGTAGAAGGTACGGAAGTTGTGTGGCAAGTACACTCCGGACCCAGCTCCCATTTTGTGGGTTGCTGGTGTAAGTGTTGCAGATCCTCTTGAAGTTGCTACGGAAACTGGGAACTATCTTGTCCGTGTCTCCCAAGGGCTTCACCTTTGTCCCTCATTTCTTGCGTCTAAGTCTGCCAAGGAGCAATTGCCCTTTGATTTCTCCTCTAATGGAATGGAGCCATATAACATACCTTTCACTCTCCTAGAGCTAGAGTCCACGCTTTCTGCTTGCCAGCCATCGGCAGCTGGACATGATATTCATATCAGTATGCTACATCTGCATTCTACAGCCCTTCCAGTCCTTTTGCGTCTTTTCAATCTTATTTGGGTGCGAGGGGCTCTCCTCAACAATGGAAATCTGCCATCATACTACCATTTTGCAAACCAGGCACCTCAGGGCTTGATACCTCTCACTATTGTCCCATTGCCCTGACCAGCGTAGTCTGCAAGGTGATGGAACGATTGGTGAACAGACATCTAATATGGTTCTTGGAGACTAGCAATAGTCTTTCCCATCACCAATATGCTTTTGCAGGAGCCACCCTACTTTGGACCCCTTGCTCCACTTAGATACGTATGTGTAAAATGCTTTTGCTAACAAACACTCTATCTTAGCAGTCTTTTTTGATCTTGAGAAGGCATATGACACCACTTGGATGATTAACATTTTAGCCCAAGCCTACTCCTTAGGCCTCCACAGTAATCTACCAGCCTTCCTTGCTGCTTTCTTATCTGACAGACATTTTCGAGTATGTTTTGGCGCCTCGCTTTCCTCAGACTTTGTACAAGCCAAGGAGTTGCACAAGGCTGTGTCCTTAGCACTACCCTTTCTTCCACTGCATATTTGGTAGTTACTTTGTGGATGACTTTGCTATAGCTTACTCAGGTACTGACTGTCACTTGATAGCCTCCCTTCAAGATGCAATTGACCAAGTTTCCCACTGGACCACTTCTCATGGCTTTAAATTTTCTAGTACGAAAACCCATTTCATTACCTTCACAAGATGTCCTCTTATCCCAGATACAGTGGACCCCGCCTTACGAATGCATCGCGTTACGTTAAATCTGCCATACGAAGCATTTGAATGCAAAAATTTTGCCTCGCCTCACAATAAAAAACTCGTCTTATGTGATTCGTCCGGGATGCGTCC